GAGGTTGCTGTGAGCTGTGAGGCCACGGCACTCTACCCAGGGTAACAGAGTAAGACTCTGTCTCTAAAAAAAAAAAAAAAAAAAAAAAAAAAAAATTCATCAATCTTCTATAACATAAGTGGATACAATATTAAAGAGTTTGTTTTACATTTGAACTGTACAAATACATATTTTACACTAAACTTGCATCTTATAAATTTGATGACCATGAGCTTAAGTTCTCAGTTTCCACTATATGAAAAAGAAGCTCAGGGTTGGAGCTTTGAGAGCCTTGCTTATCTCATCTCCCAGGGAATGAGATATATTTGATCTAATATCAAAGAAGTGAAAATAGAGTTAGCTGAGGCCACTGTTATAATGCATGGTGTTGAGTATTACTCCAGTTTCAAAAGGAAAGGACTGAGGATATTTTCAACAAACAGCTTGGCTCATGAATATTATCAACTGACTTTAGAAAGTATGAATTTGCTAAAATATCCAGTCTTTAGTTTGAATATGATTTTCAGAAAAATATTTTTATCAAATCTTAAAGGTAACCATTTTTTCTTGGATAATATTCAGATGAATATCGCATAGGCTTAAAGATTGCTTTGAAAGAGGAAACTTAATAAAATAGTTTGAGCTATAAAAAAAACTGATGTAACTTTAATATTGCTTCTTTATAGTAAAAAAAAAATCATGTGCATATCTGTATACATACTGATATAGACATTTATATATAGAGAGGGTGGATTGCTATATTTTGGTTAAAATATTTCAACCTAAATTTATTTTTAAAATATGCATAAGGCATTGATTATAAGTTCAATATGATAGTCATACTATACTTTTTATCTGGAAAAAAAGCAGAAGACAGCCTTTTCTTTCTTAATCTGAAATATTTCTTCCTCTGGCACCCCTTGCTTCAATTATGATTAGATTATCTTCCCTGACAATTCATTAATTTACATTCAAAATATTTCTCATTTTTATTTCATGTTTTGCAAATTTTGACATGGAAATATTTTATATATTTTTTCAGTAATATGTACATATACGTATGTGCGTGTATGAATACACGTTTATATTTAAATAGATTAAATATGATCAAAATGAAGTGATGGAAGAAATAATTGAAGAATGTCATGTTAAGCAAGTATAGATTTGTATGATGTATGTTTAAACAGTTAACTAAATTTCTATAGGTTCATGGCTTCATTTTCTTTCCTCCTACAGACAGCTGCTTAAGAACGAGGAACAGTACGGGCTGCACCTCTTCAGCTTCTTCTCTTTCTAACTACTTGTACGTCTTCATCTTGGGACAACTGTTGCTGGGGACGGGCGGGACTCCTCTCTACACCCTGGGGACAGCCTTCATTGACGACTCTGTGCCCACACACAAGTCCTCTCTCTACATAGGTGAGTTTACAGCCTCAGCGTCCTTTTGCCTGATTACTTGTTTATTTTTGAAATAAAGCATAAAATAGGCTGTAAAAGAGTCAGTTGTAAAGTTGTCCTAAGTATTTCCATCAGATAAATGCAGCATTACTTGTAGTCACTTGCTTATTTCCCACTGTATAAAGTCAGTAATCTCGGTGGGAAGAGCCACCCAGGCAGAGTTCTGTCTAGATGGCCTGACTGCAGGGTGACGTCCACAGGAGCCAGGATGGAGCCCCGCTGCTCTGGGTGATTATTACGGGTTTTCATCCTCAAATTTTTTCTGCATAAATCCTTTATGTGTTTATGCTTGATTATTTATACATTCTGTACATTAATTTTTCTCCTAGTTTTTTAGTATTGAAAATACAGCTACAATATAAATTAAGATAGTCAGCAGGTAAATAAAAGTTCCTATAAGTTTTCAGATCACCTAGCATGAGCTTTTATTCAGAGACTTGAAATAACGCAGTGATTCCTGCCATGGATACAAACTTTGTTCAAGGTATAAATTACTGTTTCCTGTTCTTTTGGTCTTGAGAATGAGAATCTCAGCAGTTAACAAACACCTAGAAGGTGGAATTGACTGGGACGCTGGTGTTCACAGACGTTCCTTTCCTGGAGATGTCATTAGGATGATTGATGGCAGGCACACTGGGCTCTGCTCCTCCCTGAGTAAGGACCAAAACAAAGAGCAGGTAACTGCATGCTGCACGGAGCATCTAAGACGGAACACTCACTCAGCAAGGAAGTTAGAAGACACTCTGAGATGCAGAGAACTGGGCTGACAGTGGAGAGAAGTGACGCACTCAGCTGGCTGCTCAGAGCCAAGAGGACTCCCCAGGGCAGGAGGAAATATCAGCAGGTCATCCCCAGAAGTCCACTCCCACCACAGATGCCTGTGGTCATAGCCAGAGGAGATCACATCAACCCTCACAGGCCCTGGGCCCCAAAACTGCATCCTTCCAGAGAGGGAAGTCACCCTGGTCACTCCCACTCTCTGGGACCCATGCTACTTCAGCCAAGCACCATTTCAAGGTTGGAGCCACCACCAGGTAACATTCTGCTGGGAGTCCCCCACAGCCCTCACATCTCCACATCCCTGGGGTCCGGTGACACCTGCACATCCCTCACAAGGCTGAGGTTTCAGCACTGTCTCACCCAGAGGTGCAGCTATGTCTCAGGTGCTTGGGACCACGTAGCACCCTGCGTCCCATGGGACAGACCACTGGGCATATGGGAGAGCTGCCCTTCCAGCCAGGGGAGCCACAGCGCGCACTCCCACACCAGGGAGTTGCCTGCATGGGCCTGCTGCTGCTGACAGCCGCCACACACCCTCGAACCCCAGTGCTGTTTTGTGTCTGCATTGTTTCCCAGAGGCCAGAGGACCAGTGCACCTGGCCTGCCACCAGCTTCACTGGCAATGCACTGGCCTCTACTGCCAGCCTCTACAAACACACCCTTACCGGAGAATCGGCCTGTGGAAACCCACGGGCAGCACCATCACTGGCACCTGCACGTGCCACCCTGGCCCAGAGCTGGCTTGCATGGAGCTCACCTCCACCACCTCTGGCACACACACAGTGCTTGGAAAGCCTAGGACCTTCCCGCTTGGGACACGCTGCTGCCACCTTTCAAACTCACCTTCTATAGCAGTGGGGAAGCTGCATGCCCCCACAAACTGCCTGGGAGCCGGGGCTGGCAGCCCAGGAACCACCCATCACCACTAATGCCCAGATATGTCCCCAGGGGCCTGAGAACTGGCTCACCCTGGGTGTCCCTCCTAATCACTGCTCTGACACAGCCTCCTGAAACAGCTGTAGCTTGAGCCACCAGAGGACTCACAGACACTGCTGCTTTGATTGCAGTGGAAATACTCCTATGGAGACCACCCTGTAGTCCCACCTGGAACCAAAGCACAACCCATAGCCAGCCAGCTGTGTGGGTACATGGACAGGATAAGTCTCTCCCTGTGACAGCTACTTAGTAAAACTGGAAGGATGGCTGTTACTCGAGTTGCGCAGATAACAATGTAGCGACATAAGAACCATGAAAAAGCAAAAATTTATGACATCAAAAGGCTAGAAAAGAAGGATTTTGGATGTTCTATAAACATTTGAATAAAGGTGGACAATTATTATGTGCCAGCTAAAATTAAAGGAAAGAATAGTGAAATCATACCCAGCTGGCATCCCAAAATACTTAAAAGCTTAAAGGGAAAAACAATATCCACAGTAAAAAGATATGATTGGTGAAAACAACCGATAAATAATTTTGTTCTATAAAAATTCAAAAGCACATACGGCAAAGTTTTACATTTCTGACAGCTAGAAATAGGCTTTTTAATTCTGCTGCATGTCAAAACTGGGGGGAACAAGAATTTTAACCTAATGGTTTGTATCCCAGAAACAGACTTCTCAGAAGATCCAGGTTTTGAGGTCGGCTTCTAGAGGGCAAAACAAAGAACACTTGCTCAGTTGGCAGACCTGCGGAAGCTTTTGTTTTGTGTTGTTTTCTTCACGATGTTGTAAATAGTATAATCATTGTTCTCAGTAAAAGGAACAGTATGTGTACCACCCTGCCACCAGCTCACAGAACTTCTGTGTATTTATTACTCGTGGTTTTATTGTAATCACTGTGACACTCAAACAGCCTTTACATCAAGTCGTATATTTTGGGTTTTGTTGTCTTGACCATTGACTAAAGGATGCCGTTCAAATGGTGTATCTTTAGTGAAGATACGTGTAACTTGGTGTGTCTATTCACTTAGATTGTTCCATGATAAGACGTGTTTTGTTGTTGGCTGTTGTCAGCCTTGCAAGGCAAAGCTGCACACGTGACTGTGCTCAGGGTCTCTGCTCCTCTCCAGGGATCGGCTACTCCATGTCCATCTTGGGTCCTGCTATCGGCTACGTGCTGGGAGGACAACTGCTCACCTTGTACATTGATGTCGCTATGGGACACAGGCAAGGCAGTAACTATTTTTCCTTTATTTAATTGTATTTTATTTTAATAATGCTAATGTCATGGAAACAATTTTTTAACAGTACTTCCTTAGTATGGCATGAGGGATTTTTTACGACAAACAAAACCAAATACAAATGATTTTTATAAATGATCTTATTTTGGCCACCTTGCCCCAGGGATCGATGCCATGCCATCTCTTATGTAGTAGTGTACTTAATAATAAATAAGGATATTTTTATAGAGTCCCTTGATGAAATTTTTTAAAAACACATAGTAGGACTCTTATGTTTTCCAGAGATCTATTTGGGGGCAAAGAGCCTGAAGAGTCTCAGAAGTCTGTGATTCTCAGAGTAAGTTCCTCAGTAGCTCTGATAATGTCAGAGAGATCACAGTTATGTGACTTTATCTAACAAGGAAGAACGATAATAGTAATAGTTATTTATCCTGTAGTACATTCTCTACATCTGTTTTTGGTGTGTGTTAACTATTTCACAAACTATCTTATTTAATTCTTTCAATAAACCCATAAAGTAGTTTGATGTGCACTGACCACTAAATGGCCAAGACATGAGTATATTTTTTTGACTCCCAAATCCCCCCCTTCAGTACTAGTTACCTTTTCTTTTTCCTGAATAGAGAATTTAGTGGCCTTTGGTGAGGCCATATTTGCTCATTGTGCCACTGGGAAAAATACCACCCAATTCTTTGTATGGCCATGAGCAGAGACTAAGAAGATGTGGTCATGGGCATGTGACTGGTTAATCTTAGAGACTATAAACAGGTGTGTGGGAGAAGCTCTGGAAGAGAGAGAGAGAGAATTACACAAAATGACATTTCCATTTCAATAAAAAGTTACAGAAGTTGTAGGAGTGGTGTGTTTTCTGAAACGGCTTATTGATATTAAAATATGAAAATCATTATAAAAAATTGTTGATAAATCAGTCTAGGAATAATTTTACATTTTAGGAAATGCCACCACTGAAGCCCAACATACAAGCTTTTAACATAGATCAGTGTTTTCTGTGAGATGTATTTAATTTTTTTTAAATTTTATTTTATTAAGTCAAATATACATAGATCATGAATATACTCATGCATATGTGGGTACAATGTGCTGATTTTTTTCTATACAATCTAACGTGGTTACATTGAACCTGAGTAAAGTGTCTCAAGAATGGAGGAAAACGTATCCAATGTACTCAGTACTTCTATGAAACCAACTTATACTGACTCACAGTTTCTTATAAGAGATGTATTTAATTTAAAACACCGGAGGAGAAAATTCACCTAAACTTAAAGACTGGTCAGGAATTCTATGTATCCTTTCAAATACTTATCATACTAATATTTACTATTAAATATTTTACACTTTTATGTCACATTTGTCATTTTAAAATACTTTATAACCACTATTCTTACACCTCATTTATATCTGCTGCTGATTTTCTGATTTGTCACAGTGCTGCATTAACATTTTGGATATTATAATAACGTGGTACTATATTCATTCTAAGTATGTGATTATGATACCTGAGTTTTAATTAATAAAATAGAGTCACCTTTACCTCCTGTTTTTCTGTCTTGTAGCCCTGACGTCTCTGAGGATGATCCCCGGTGGCTGGGAGCTTGGTGGATTGGGTTTCTTTTATCTTGGATCTTCGCTTGGTCTTTGATAATACCTTTTTCTTGCTTTCCAAAACATATACCAGGTAAACATGCTTTCTTTAAATAGGAGGATTTTATTTTACTTCTAAGTGTTGTTTTCTATATGATTGATGAAAACCATAGCTCCTCCCTGTGTGTTTTATGCAAACTTTTGAATATCTATCTTTGTTTTAGGAAATATTGGGTAGCAATCTTAATATTCCTATATTTCCAATTAATAATTGATAAAACTGTGTGTGTATTTACCTCTTACCTTGCTTGATAATGTGTTTCCTTGGTTTCACTGGGAATCCAGCTTTATGGGATACAAGATGCACTACCTCCTTTTTTTTTCAGAGATAGGGTTTCTGTCATAGAGGACACTTGGAGTGCAGTGATGTGACTATAACTCACTATAATCTTGAACTTCTGGGCTCAGGTGATTCTCCTGCCTCAGCAGCTGGGATGACAGGCACACATCACCATCCCTGGCTAATTTTTAAAAAATTTTTGTAGAAATATCCCACAGTTAGTTGATCCATTCATGGGTTGATGGGTACTTAGGTTGTTTCTACAACTTGGCAATTATGGACTGAACAACAGTAAATATTTGGGTGCAGATACCTTTGGGGTAAAATGGTTTTTGTTCTTCTGGGTAGATACTTATACACCTTTAACATTTGCCTAGATGGCGTTAAAATACATTCTTTTTAGTAAAATATCACAAGAATGGAAAAATAAATATCTATTGTATTCCATACTAATAGGAAATCAATATATAAACAATTACATGCTCATAAGAATAATGAAACACAAATATAGTCTAGTATGGGGGTGGAAGGAAGCAGGAAGGGGGAGGGGGAGGACGATTGTCAGAAGAAGGGAGGGTGTGAGGCGGGATCTCACCTCATGTGCACACTGTGAGAATGTGTAACACGCCCCCTAGGTGGGGAGCTCTTTTACAAACGGAACTTTCCCCTGAAAGTGAGAACAGTGTAACCTAAAAATGTGTACCCTCATATTAATTTGATCTAAAAAACAAATTAAAAAAATAAAAAGTAAAATTTTTTGTAGAGCTGGGGTCTTGCTATGTTGCCCAGGCTGGTCATGAACTCCTGGCCTCAAATGATCCTCTTGCCTTGGCCTCCCAAAGTGCTGATATTACAGTCATGACCACTGTACCCAGCCCAACTATTAGGTTGTATTCAGGTCATCACTAATTTCAATATGCTTGGGCATTCATGTTAATTATTGATAGTTGAAAGTACAAGTGCTTATGTTTTTCACTTATTGCCAAAGTTGTGCTGTAGTGCACTCATTGTTTGCCATATTAAAATACCAGACATTCTTTCCAAAAAGAAAGGGCTAATAGAAATGAATATATTTTTTTCCCACCGAGATCTTGCTTCTGTGTAAGTGTGAAGTTGAATCCATATCTGTATTAAGTATTTATCTTTAAGTTGAAGGGCTTAGTTGTTTACTTTATTTGCAACAGGTTAGATGAGTACCTTTTTGAAATTAGCAAAAGAAAAGTCAGACTATAAGTAGGTGGACTTGATTTTGTTTTTTATTGGTTTTTCTGGGCCATTCAATTTATAATTTCACATATTGGCTGTTTTCTTAGATTTATTCGCAATACCACCATTAAAAATCAAAGGGACCTGGTAACAGATGGTAAAATTTCATCTGCTAAGCATGTTAGAAAGAGTAAAGGAAAAAGCCCTTAAATATAGAAAGAGAACCATTTGGAAGGAAGGCAAAATTTAAGAGCTTATAAATGAAAAGCACCATTATGAGATTAGAGTAGAATTGTCTCATTTTCAGGTTGAGACTGGTTGGCACTTCCTGAGTGGTAGTGAATACGAGGCCTTAGAACAGCCTGGTTACCTACGTATCTGCACAATTGTGTTGAAAGGAGAGGAACTGGCCTCTTCTGTTATGGAATTTATGTACTTGTGGAACTGCGTGTCAGTTAAAAAGTGAACATTTTATTGAAAATGAAGAATGCAGTGATAGAGAATGTGCATTTACTACCGTTTTTAGGTACAGCAAAAATTCAAGCTGGAAAAATTTCCCAAGCTCATCAGAATAAGAGTGTATCCTTGCATCATACAGACGAGAAATTTGGAAAAAGTATTAAAGATTTTCCGGCTGCACTGAAGGTAAAAATAAGACTTTTTTTCTCTCTGTGTCTCTGACACACACACATGCACAAGTCCCATGTGCATATATATTTGTGTATTTATTACATACACACATTAAAAACCCCACTTGCAATGTATACACACTCGTAATGAGACACTTACAAACCTTTTCCTAATACATTCTTGTTTGCTTATTTGCTGCAGTTCTAGCCCTTATAAACTATTCTGCAGATTTAGTTTTATTGTCCTTTAGGCAAATGAAAATTAGTCCAGAGAATGATTGAAAGACTGTGAAGTATCTCATTGGTGATATGAACGTCCAGTGGCTTCTCACGAGCACCACCGCCCATTATTCCATGTTTCCCTGAGGTGATGGACTGATCAGTGATTACTGAATTGTTAATATAGGTTTTAAAGTGACAAACTGACACTTTTCCTTTTTGAAAAAAGTAGTGGTCACTCTGGAAGACTGAGGTGGGTAGATCGCTTGAGCTCACAAGTTCAAGACCATCCTGAGCAAAAAAGTGGCACCCTGTCTCTACTAAAAATAGAAAAACAGAGGCAAGAGGATTGGTTGAGCCCAAGAGTTGAAGGTTGTTGTGAGCTATGATGCTACGGCACTCTACCTAGGGTGACAGCTTGAGAGTGTCTCAAAAGCCAAAAACAAACCAAAAAAATAAGTAGTGGTCCATGGTAACTTGGTTGGAAGCTAAGAAATGAGTGTTTTATTGTATTTGATTATACGCAGGAGAATGTTCTTTCTGGTCAGCATCATAAACTCTTTGTACATATGGGAGTTTCTGATTTTATTTTTACAAGACATGAAGTTATTGGTTTCTTCTTGCTTTTTTGGGGCTCTTGTCAAATGAAAGCCTTAAACTGTTTCCACTTGTCCACTCAGCCCACCTTTCACCTCTGCCCACATACAGGAACATTATTGTCTTTTGCTGAGATTGTTCTTAAGTTTTAATTCCAACTACTATTATTTTCCCTTATAGTAAGTTCGTTCTATTTGATATCTTTCCATTTATTTTATTTTATAAATGTCAGTTTATATTACTATCAAGAGTTGTTGCTCACCATTGTTTTTTTTAATCCTTGTGGCCTTCTGCTCGGATATCTCTCTTGTATTCAGGTCTCTATGGAGACAGGATTTTATTGCTGGTTTCCCTTGGATAGGAAACCACATAAAGATCCTCTAATATACCAATGATATTTCTGATGAGATCAGTACTTTTAGATTCTTCCCCTGTAATTCTTCCTGTGGTCTGTGGGTATTATTTACTCTATTCTATTTAAGTGTGTTGCATTTGAGAACTTTCATGGTAGCATTTTTCTGACAAGTGCGAGTGTTCTGTAAGTTTATTTTTCATGTATCTTTGATTTCAGGAAATTTACATAGTTATGCCTAAGTATGTCTTTTTACATTAAGTCTTCCTAGGAATCTATTATCTTTTCCAATCTGGAGACTTAATAATTTTCTTCTTCTACTTCTACCACTACTAAAAATACTGATACTATTACTACCAGTACTGATATCACTACTAGTACAACTTTCATTACTACTACTGCTACAACCATTACTACTAGTACTACTAGTACTACTACTATTACTACTAGTACCACTTTCATTAATACTAGTGCTACTATTGCTGTTACTATTGCTACTAGTACTACCATCACAACTATTAATATTAATAGTATTACCACTATTACCACCATCATTACTACAACTATTACCAATAGTACTATTTTCATCACTGCTAGTGCTACTATTACAATGCTAGCACTACTAGTACTACATCACTACTACTACTATTACTGCTAGTACTAGTAGCCCTACTTGCACCACTAATAAATACTACTATTACTATTACTACTAGTACTACTAGTGCTGCCATCACTACTACTACTAATACTATTACTGTTAGTACTACTAACATTACTGCTAGTGATACTATTACCACTACCATTGCTACTAGTGTTGCTAGTACTATCATCACCATGACTACTACTATTACTACTATTACCACTACTGTTACTACTAGCACTACTAGTACTACGTTACTACCGCTGTTAGTACTAGCACTATTAGTACTACTACTCCCACCACTAATAAATACTGCTATTACTAATATTGTTACTACTAGTACTACTAGTGCTACTAACACTACTACTATTAACACTACCACTTCTCTACTACTAATAAAATACTGGTATTACTACTACTATTACTGCTAGTGCTACCATCACTATTAACACTATTACTACTATTATTACTACTACTACTAATAAAATACTACTACTACTGCTTTAAACTGTGGCATGTCTTCATCCAGGTACTTCTCTCCTTTTGTCCCTCTTGTTATCCTTATGTTACTAGTTATCTGGCTTTGACTTCTGAATCCCTTTTCTCATCCATTTGTAACCTCTGCATGTGTGTTTTGCTTAGTTTTCTGAAACATTTTTTTGCATTTAATATTTCAGAACTATAATTTGGTTTTCATTTTGTGGTTAAATATGTTAAAACAATTAATCTCTATATTATCTGTAGGTAGGTAAGAGTCTGAGAGGTCTAAAAGTATAGACTCCTATTAAAGTTGCGTAAGCCTGTATCTGGCTAAGTTGCTGGTCCTTTAATCATCGAGCAATACTATGAGTTGGGTGCTTAGAAATCACTCTTATCTGTGCTGACATAGGTTCTTTGTTCACTGGACATAGGAACTCAAACAATGAAGTGATCAAATCAGGGGTAAATTTGTAGTGTGGATATCTACAGTAAGACTTGGGAAAGGACTTTTTCCCAAGAAGACTTTAACTGTCTCTCCATGATCCCTGGAATGTGAAAAAGTCATAAGTACTGTATTGAACAGTCATGTGTCAACCAAGAGGTGCTTCAGATATGCAGAGTTCCCATCATTTTTTATGTTTAAATCTATTAATTATTTATCATTATATTTTTGTTCTGGAGGGAAAGATGCCATTTTACAGATGATTACGTTGTATTTATTAAAACTTCTGCCATTTCATCATGCCACCATTCTCATCCTTCCCTTGTGATACAATCACATTCATTTAGTGCACTGTATTTTTTTTGTTTGTTTTAGAATTTGATGAAGAATACTGTCTTTGTATGTTTAGTTTTATCAAGTTCTTCAGAAGCATTAGTTACTACTGGATTTGCTACATTTTTACCAAAATTTATAGAAAATCAATTTGGGTTGACATCCAGCTTTGCAGCCACCCTTGGAGGTAAAATATTTTATTTGTTCTAATTTAATCTAATAATTTTACCTAGGTACATTATTTATTGCATAGTATATAAATTGGGATGCCGCACTCATTGAAATTTAAATTTAATACTGATTTTGGTAAAAGTTACTGATTTTCAGACATGAGGTCATCTAATGTATGAACTTGAGACAAAGGGCATATGTAAGGCTGAGAGAATATGTCTTACTGTTAACGTTCAGTACATTAATTTTAATAATTCCTCACTTAGTAGGATCATTAAGTCATTTATACATATGATTCTATGTCAGATGAATTCTTTATATGTGAAAGCCATCCTGGTGCTTTTTTTGATGTTTCCAAACGTATTATGAGCCGCTGAGCGTGTGCGTGTTCTCACTGCATCCTCCTTCTCATTAGGGGCTGTTTTAATTCCTGGAGCTGCTCTTGGGCAGATTTTAGGTGGTTTCTTCGTTTCAAAATTCAAACTGGCATGTAAAAATACAATGAAGTTTGCACTGTTCTCATCTGGAGTTGCATTTCTGCTGAGTTTTGTATTTATTTATGCCTACTGTGAAAATGAGCCATTTGCTGGTGTGTCAGAATCATATAACGGGTAAATATATTTCAATACTTTGGTATTAATATCAAAATAATTAATGATACATGCATTTCCCAAGTATATATGCTTTCTTTTTCTTGTATTGTTTCAGGTTCATTGAGGGTACAAAGAATTAGGTTATGCTGATTGCATTAGTTAGATGAATTCCCTCTTATAAATGTCTCCCATCCCCAAGAGGTGTGCCATACACCCTAACCCCTCGTGCCCCTTTCTCCTCCACTCTCCCCACTTGCTCATTGCCCTACCCCCCCATCTTGTATTAGATTATGTACAGCAGGGGTCCTCAAACTTTTTAAACAGGGGGCCACTTCACTGTCCCATTGGAGGGCCGGACTGCGGGCCCTGTGACCAGTTGGCTGCTAAGCAGGACAGGCAGTAGCAGCAAAATAACCTGACAGGCCCAATAAATGTCCTAGGTGGGCTGCATGTGGCCCGTGGGCCGTATTTTGAGGATGCCTGATCTACAGACTTCACATTACAATTGAGTACATTGGATTCTTGCTTCTCCATTCTTGTGATGCTTTTAATGTGTTTCACCACCATCTAGGTTAATACAAAATATGTAAAGTCTCCATCTCTTTTAATGACTGCATGGTATTCAATGGTGTACATATACCACAGCTTGTTAATCCATTCCTGGGTTGGTGGGCATTTAGGTTGATTCCACGTTTTGGTGACTTTAAGTTGAGTTACGATAAACAGTCTAGGGCAAATGTCCTTATGGTGAAAGGATTTTTTTTTCTTCTGGGTATATGGAATGCAGTAATGGGATTGCAGGATCAAACGAGAGGTCTAATTTGAGTTCTTTGAGGATTCTTCATAGTCAAGAAGGTTGTATTAGTTTGTAGTCTCACATTTTTGTTTTCGTTGCCTTTGGTTTTGGTGTCTCTGTCGTGATGAATTTCACCTACCCCCCCGTGTGCAGAAGAGTTAGTTCCCAGGCTTGCTTCCTTCTCTGTGCCAGGCCCCGCCCTTCTTTAGCTCTGGTTTCATCTTCTTTTTTCGTTCACATTTAGATATATTTCTGCCAACTCGAGTTGTCTAGCACATAAGTGGGGTTCTCCGTGTTTTAAATTAGTAGACCCCAGGGCCCCTGTGCTCTTCTCCCGTGCACTCTGTGTGGCAGGTTTTATCAGCTACATTTATATGAAAATAAATGTTAGGGTGGGTCCAGGCCAGATTCCTCACCAAATCTGAGATTCTTAATCTCCGTATACATAAGTCCAGATTCATCACATCTTCTCCAAAACTGGGTCTTCTTGTCTACCTAAACACCAAGTTAGATAGCAGGAGTTGCCTGCAACACTGCTGCCCTTAACAGAGAGAGTCATGATCACTCATTGGTCAGTCACCAAATCTCTCTGATTCTGTGAATACACTCAGAGCTTCTTCACCCTGTTTGCTGTGATCACGCAGTCTTCTGTTTCACTTCTCTGCACCATCTCTGCACCATTCTCTGGGTCCTTTAAATTCATACTTTCTACTAGTCCTAGGATTTTTCTTTACCACAAACTTCCGATGATGTCACTTTCCAGTCTAAAAAAGCTTTAATAATTACCTTTTGTCAGTAATGAGTTAAAACTCACTGTTTTGAAGGAGACCCAGGAGGCCCTCAGGAATCTGGGCCTGCCTCCTTCGCAGCCCCACTTCCCATCTCCCTCTGCTCAGACGTCATCACACTTCTCCATGGAGGCGGTGGCTTCCCAAGTCTGTGCCTTTGTACTGGCTTTTTGTGGAGTGTCCTTCCCCCACCCCACTAGCTGGGCTCACCCTTCCTCAGCCTTTCAGACTCTTCTGCTGCTGTCCTTCCTCCAACCCCTCCTTTCCAAACTTCAGCTCCTGCTGGGTGTCCTCCCCTGGTGCTTCTAAGATGCACTTTGCAGACACCGGTAGCCACACTTAGCACGTTAGTGGTGAATTGTCTGTGTCCATCTCTACTTCCAGACTGTGACCTCTGAGACAGAGGCTGCCCCACTTAGCTTTACATTACAGTCATGGGTCATGGGGCCGAGCACTTGCTCAGTGTGTGCTGTTTGAGTGAATGAGTACGTGCGGGCTTAGGGAAGTTCCTTATTAGGAAAGACGCTCTTTCCTCATAAGAGGCAGAAACAACATGGCCTGGCATCAAGGCAGGGATTTCTTCCTTCCTCCCTCATACTTGGCAGGGGAAAAACAGTAACTTACTTTCTGGGTCTTGGTTTTGCCTTCAATTAAGATCAAGATGTTCAACAACATGAACTAAGCCTTCCAAGTCTAAAATAACTGGGTAGTACCTTGAGGTATTGTGGCTGCCATAGTTAAGGAGAGTGCTACTGGCATGTGGTGGGCAGAGGCCTGAGACGCTGCCTCATATTCCACAGTCCACAGAACCAGCTCCCCACGTGAAGGAGTTGTCTGACATCAAATGAGAAACCTGCTTTCTTCACTCGGTCCAGCTCATCTATCTTGTTAGGGACAGGCACTGTGTTATGTAACTATTGTTCTTACTGCCTCTCCTCCATGAGAACTTAAGTTTTATGTCCAAAGGCAGAAATTTTACTTGTTTTATGAAGTTTCTCCTATATACACTGTACATAATAGAAGCGTTGAGGGAGTGAATAAATAATAGAAGCGTTGAGGGAGTGAATAAATTATTGAATGGCAAAATACAACAATGCTTCTGAGCCTCAGGAGCATTGAAACCTAGGACGTAGATAATCCACCTTCTTTCCGTTCTTATTTACAGGACAGGAGAACTGGGGAGTTTGACAGCCCCTTGTAATGCCAATTGCAGCTGTCTGCGCTCGTATTATTATCCTCTCTGCGGAGAAGACGGAGTCCAGTATTTTTCTCCCTGCTTTGCAGGTTGTTTAAACTCAGTTTCAGAAAAGAAACCAAAGGTAACTTATGTCTGCTCTCCTACCGCTAATGAGGCACCATGTTTGTGTACTCACGAGTGTCCATCTTGACCCCTCTGCTGGGTTATGCGATGCCTTTTCTTTTCTTCCTGCCCAATCTCTTCCACTGAGTGGCCCCCAGAATCTCCAGCTAAAAAAGGGTCTTCTTCCTTCACACTTCATGTGCTCATCGCTCAAGTCAACTTGGCAGTTACTCGGGTACATCTTAGCACCATCACTTCTGTTGCAGTAGTGAAATATCATTTACCTTTTTATAGTGTTACAGCTGTCCCTCAGTGTACATGAGAGTTGGGCCAGGACCCCCACCCCACCCAGATCCCCCATACTCAAGTTCCACAATAGGCACTGCAGAACCCATGGCCCACCACTCATGTATATCAAAGGGTTGGGCCTCTTTAAATGTGCGTTTCACACGTGGTTTCACACGTGTAAATCTCTGTATAAGTGGACCTGGCAGTTCAAACCGACGTTATTCACGAATCAGCTGTATACGGTCTTTCCCAACTGCACCTTAAGATCCTGAAGGCAAAGAACGTCACCTGTTTTTGTCTAGATACAGCATATACGATTGAAAGTCATAAGTATTTTACTTGACGTACCACAGATACATTTTAAAAGGTCCAAATAAGTTCATTCTCAAATAGAAATTTACTTTACTGAATCAGAATGCACATCTGTTTATCTAGATGTTATTTTATTTAATGTAAGTAGTGTAAAAGAATTAGAGTTTTATTGTATTACGCCTATAATCTAAAGATTTCATCGTAGTTAAATTGGAGAGACTTGGGAATAACTAATATTTAGATCACGAGTGGTATACAGTATATTAAGCATCAATAGGTAATGTGATAACTTAAAAAGAACACGTGAATAAAATATGTAAGAGTTACATGTGTAAGACAATCTTAAATATTCGAAATATGGGATAGTGAATGACATTCCTTTTAAAGATATAAATTCCCATATAAAGATAAATTGAAGATGGTAAGATTGTTTTTCATATTACCTAGTATATATATATATTTTATTTTTTTTTTGGGACAGAGTCTTAAACTGTCACCCTTGGTACAGTGAAGTGGCGTCACAGCTCACAGCAACCCCAAACTCTTGGGCTTAAGCGATTCTCTTGCCTCAGTCTCCCAAGTAGCTGGGACTACAGGTGCCCACCACAACACTTGGCTATTCTTTTGTTGCAGTTGTCATTGTTGTTTTAGCTGGCCCAGGCCAGGTTTGAACCTGCCAGCCTCTGTGTATGTGGCTGGTGCCCTACTGACTGAGCTACAGGCTCCACCTAATATTCTATATGTTTTTAAATAATTACCTAACAAACATTGAAAAAATGTTATAAAAATATTTATGAAAAATTGTAGAAGACCATGCATGATTTAATCTTTGTAGTAAAACTAATCAGGTTGTTATTATAAAGGACCTGTTGAAACTTTATAAAAGACTTCAGGAAGATTTTTATAATTTTAATCTCCAAACTTTCAAACCCGTGGGCATCTGGGATGGCTTTATTTTCAACATACCTTGAGAAAATAGGAGCTTGTGTGAGTTGTAAGGAATCAAATTCCACCAGTAAGCATGGTAAATATCCTAGAATCAGAGCTACCTGGTAGATAATTATTTCTTTGAGAAGTGAATAAATAGCTAATTTGTGGTATATAAATAGGATTAACAAATGTTATTAACTAAGTTTGATTAGAAGATTATGGTAAGGAGTTATTATTAAGCTTTTATTGACATAAGTATACTTGAAATGGTATTAATTATTTTGATATGGTTAATTTAATATTTACATTTTCACCAAATACTTAGAAAATTGCCATCTCACACAGAAAATTGTCTTCAAGGATTGGTTGAGAAGAGCAGATTATGTTGACTTCAGAATTTTCTATTTGTCTGTTTTTTGATATGTCCAACCAATTTATATCATAATTAATGCACAAGATTTTTTTTCTTGTGGACTATTTCAGATAGGTAAAATATTTTTCTATTAATGTAATAAACACCTGTGAACATTTGTTCACAGTAATATAATATTAGTTACATTTCACACTGGTAACCCAAATTATAAAAACAGATTTTGACTAGCAGTTATATTACAGGCAAATATATACTTCTTTATGTAAGAGAGTTGTAATGTTTCATCAAGGTAAAAAATACTATTCTAGGTTCCTCTTTATAAGATTTTTAAAAGTTGAATTACTTCGTTATTTGATATACGTGGTTGTGGAATATCTTAGTCAATTTTGGAGGTGCTGTCTGTGTATTTGGTTTTCCTGGATCAGTGCCAGTGGTCTTGGAATTGCTTTATGCCAAATGTTTGTTTCTCACCTTTGTAATACTGAAATTACCACTTCTCTTTGATCTCTCTGGCTCTGCTCTGATTTTATTGAGATCTTAAATGTATAAAAAGATTTACAGTAAGCATGGAGTTGAGATGTAAAATGCCTTCATGAAATAAGGCATGCCTAATAAACTTTTTAAGTAACTGAAATATTTTTCCACAAAGGTAATAGTTATCATTTTTAAATCATGTTACTTTCTAACATTTCATATTATTAATATATATGCATCTCTATGCATATATGTAGAATATTTAATATATTATTTATATATAATATCACTTTAAGGATAATGAGGTACCAACTTTTATTTTTTAATTGTCATAAACATATTTTTAGAAGGATACAGTTTGCTTTTGGTCAAACAAATTAAAAAATTCAGAAAATTACAGTTAACAATCTAAGATTCAAATTGAAGGCTCAGTACTATTCACAATAGCTACAAAGAAAACAAAATACCTAGGAATATATTTAACCAAAGAGCTGAAAGAGCTCTACAGGGAGAACTGCAAACATTGAGGAAAGAAATTGAGGAAACACAAACAAATGGAAAGATCATTGTGCTCATGGGTGGGCAGAATCAACATTGTTAAAATGTCCACATCACCAAAGTGATTTACAGATCCACTGAAACCCCATCAAAATATCAATGTCATAATTCCATGCTTCATTTGGGACCAGAAAAGAGCCCAAGTATCTAGAATAATCTTAAGCAAAAGGAACAAATCAGGAGATATTGCAGTACCAGACTTCAAACTATACTACAAGCTATAGTAACCCAAACATGTATGGTATTGGTACAGAGGTACAGGAATAGAGTTATAGACCAGTGGAACAAAGTAGAGAACACAGATATAAAACCTGTGGCCAGCTGATCTTTGACAAAACATACCACAGTGCATACAGGGAAAATGAAGCCCTATTCCATAAATGGTTCTGGGAAAACTGGATAGACTCCAACCATTCACCACTTATAAAAATTAACTCAAGTTGACTAAAAGACTTACCCATGAGACATGAAACCATAGGAATTCTAGAGGAAAATGTAGAAAAAAATCTCTAGATATGAGCCTAGACAAAGAATTTATGACTAAGATCCAATGGCAATTTCAGCAACAGCAGAAATAAATGGGATTTGATTAAACCAAAAACCTACTACAGAGCTAAGGAAATAGCTGTGAAAAAAAAATAGCAAGCAGACAGTCTATGGAATAGGAGAAAATATATAGAAGAAGCTATATATCTGATAAAGGGCTAATATACAGAATCTATAAGGAACTCAAACTAATAAGCAAGAAAAAAACAACCCTATTAAAAAGTGGGCAAAAGACATGAACAGAAACTTTTCAAGAGAAGATAGACAAACGGCCAACAAACATGAAAAAAGACTCAATGTCACTAATCATCAGGGAAATGTAAATTAAAACCACAGTGAGGTATCTCCTTGCTGCTCTTAGAATGGCTTTTATTAAAAGGTCTAAAAACACCAGCTGGTGTGAATGCAGATAAAAATGCAACTCTTCTACACTGCCGGTGGGAATGCAAATTAGTGCAACTTCTATGGAGAACAGTCTGGAGATGCCTTGAAGGACTAAAAGGAGACCTACCATTTGATCCAGAAATATCACTATTGGGTATGTGTCCAAAGGAAAAGGAGTCATTTTATCAAAAAGACACCTGCACTTGAATGTTTATTGCACTGTAATTCACAATTGCAAAGATGTGGAATCAACCAAAGTGCCCATCAGTTCATGAATAGGTTAATCAAATGTGGCATCTGTATACTATAGAGTACTACTCAGCCATATGACAGAATGAATTATATAGAGACTGTTATTGTCTTTGCAAAGATTTATATAGAGACTGTTATCATAAGTGATGGACATAGTATTTTAAGAATGGAAAAACAAACACCACATCTATTCGCTATTAAACTAGAACTAACTGATGAGCACCCCACGTGCAGAGGATGTAAAACTTAATGGTGATCAAGCAGGAGTGATGGGGGAGGAGGAGGCATGGGCAAAAACCTACCTGATGGGTGCAGTGAACTAACTGGCTATGGGCAACTTACAGCTGTGACTCAAGCATCACAAAAGATTTCCATGTAACTGAAAATATATGTACCCCACTAATACTTTGAAACAAAACGAAAAGCAGCATTTTTTTTCAAAGTTTTGGAACATACTAGTTAATTTTACTATCGCTTTTGTCAAAATTATAGTGTTTGTTTTTTCAAACTCCTGCAGATAATGAGATTGTCACTATAGATGTCTCTTTGCCTTCCACAATAGAAAAGGAGAAACTTAGCAGGAAAACACTATTTGATCAATTTTGCTTTATTCAAAGTAGTCTAAAGTGTGTGAGATCAGGTTATAGTGTTATTATTTTTTTCTACAAGTCCTGAGTCAATATTATGTTTTAAGTTGAAGTAATGACCACAGAAGTCAAATACAGATGATTCTGCTACATAAGTATGGTTTGTTCCCTGTTGCTGGATTTCTTAAATGTTAACTCATTTTTTGTATATGTATATGTATTTGTATAATTTGTTGTATATGGAATAAGACAGTGTGAGAGTGTTTGCCATGTCTAGAGATCACCCAATTTAAAAGGAAATATCAAAATAAACACTTTCATTATTTTTATGCCTAATATTTCTAGATGTATTACAATTGTTCCTGTATTGAGAAGAGAACAGAAGTAGCATCTGCTGCAGAGACTTTAGGTTTTGAAGCTAAAGCTGGAAAGTGTGCGGCTCGCTGTGCAAACCTGCCTGCGTTTCTTGGCATTTTCCTTGTTACCGTCGTCTTTACATTTATGGCTGGTACTCCCACGACCGTGTCCATCCTGAGGTGTGTATGATGTGAAGTTTGCATTCCCTGGGGCAGCGTGTTGAATGGGAAGAAATGGACTCAAGCTAATGTGGGATTTATATTACTGGTTCAGCCCTCCCAGGATCATCAATTCTGTGGATAAACTACCTCCTAGAACCCCAGATATATGAGATTTATGAGATTATATATGTGAACGGGTCTTGGCGTCACCTTCCTGGGATATGTACTTGGTGTGGTTTCTCTGCTTCCTTCAGGAAGCTTCAGTGGCAAGCTGGAGGTGTGTGAGTTTTATCTGAGTACATGTATCACAGGGGTAAAATGCACCTCACAGATGCCGAATCAGAATGATGCGGCGTATTATACCTTACACATTAGGTACCGTGATGTTAAATCTTCCTGTGAACACTGCTAATTGATACCAGGCTGGATACACCCCCAAAGTTTGCCTGTGTTTCAAGCTTTCAGTTCTTCTTCCTCCTTCTGTACCACTTTACAAAAATATTTTCTTTTTTTTTTTGAGACAGAGCCTCAAGCTGTCCCCCTGGGTAGAGTGCCGTGGCATTACAGCTCACAGCAACCTCTAACTCCTGGGCTCAAGCGAGTCTCCTGCCTCCGCCTCCCAAGTAGCTGGGACCACAGGCGCCCGCCACAAAGCCCGCCCATTTTTTGGTTGCAGCCGTCATTGTTGTTTGGCGGGTCCAGGCTGGGGATTCGAACCCGCCACCTTAGGTGTACGTGGCTGGCGCCTTAGCCGGTTGAGCTATAGGCGCCGAGCCTACAAAAATATTTTCTACCTGCCCTGCTTCTGTATCTCTCCTGATAAACTCTAGTTTTTTCCCGCATTTCAAGTTTTTATTCCTCAATATTCACTCACTAGATTTTCACATATTTTTTTGAAGAAAGGAAAGTTTAGTGATTCTTTCTAAAAACATTGGTTAATGTTATACTATATGGAAATCAAGTGTATTTAGGAAAGAGAGAAAATGATTTTTAAAAATTCATTTAAAATTATATAAATAGGCTCGGCTCCTGTGGCTCAAGTGGCTAAGGTGCCAGCCACATACACCTAAGGTGGTGAGTTCGAATCCAGCCCGGGCCTGCCAAACAACAATAATGGCTGCAACCAAAAAATAGGCAGGCTGTTGTTACAGGTGCTTGTGGTCCCAGCTACTTGGGAAGCTGAGGCAGAAGACTCACTTGAACCCAGGAGTTGGAGGTTGCTGTGAGCTATGATGCCACATCACTCTACACAGGGTGACAGCTTGAGGCTCTGTCTCAAAAAAAAAATTATACAAATAATCTTTCAATTATTGATTTATTTTTAGCTGATATCTTTTATCTCTCATACATCTGTCCTGTGGGCCAATGTTATGTCTCAATTTCTTTGATGGTCATGACCTAAATAATTATTATTGAAATCAGAGTGAGCTTCCACAATTCTTTTGTCATGCACCAAATTTGTACCCTGATCCTGTAGGTATGAGCTTGGTTTCAAGTTAACAAAAGTTGAGTAAGAGTCATTTGCTTGCAACTTAAGTGAACAGTGAACAGTGATAGCCAAAAATAACTATTTTTCTGTACAAATGCTGATTTTATTCTTTTAATATTTTCAGCTTTATTGAAAAATACACCTTAATTTTTCTGATAATTATTTACAAATGAAAATTATATATATTTAAAGTATAGAATGTAATGTTCTGATATATTTATATACATCTACACACTCATTATGAAATAATAACTACAGTCAAGCAAATATACACGCCAGTCCACTACTTCCATCGTTACCATTTGCGTATGTGTGTGGTGAGAACATTTAAGATCTGTTCCTTAAGCAGATTTGAAGTAAATGCAGGAATCTTAACCACAGTTACCAGGCTGTACACCAGACGCTGGGTCAAGATAACTCCACACACTTGGGCCAACATTTCCCCACGTCAAGGCCCCGGCACCCACTGTGTTAGTTTCTACTTCTTTTGAGTTTGAGTTTTTAACAATTCACATGTGAATGAGATTATGTAGTATTTATCTTTCTGCGCCTGCTTATTTCACTTAGCATAATGTCTTCCAGGTCCATCCACAGGGTCACAATGACAACGGGGACAATACAAGGGTAAATTAAATAGTATTGTATACACATTCTCGTGGTCCACATCTTAGCTACTGTGAATGATCCTGCAATGAACACAGGAGTGCAGATAACTTAGTATACTGGCTTGATTTCCCCTGGCTGTCTGCTCTGAAGCGGGATTGCTCGGTTACTGGGATCACGAAGCTTTCCCTAACAACTGTACCAATTTACACCACAGCCCACAGTGTACCTGGCTCCCTTCTCCTCATACTCTGGCTGACATTTGTTGTCTTCAGTCTTTTTATAAGAGCCATCCTGACAGGTGTAAAGTGACATCTCCCTGTGGCTCTGATGCGCATTCCCCTGATGATTGATGGTGTGTTTTTCAAGTTCCTCTGGGACATTTGTATGTGTTCCTCGGAGTAATGTCTATTTAGGTCTTTTGCCCATTATTTAACTTGATTATTCATTTCCTTGCCATTGAGTGGTTTTAGTTCCTGTATATTTTGAATATTGTTCCTTATGAGATCTGTGGTCTGCAAATATTTTCTCCCATTCTAGGTGGTCTCTTGGTTCTGTTGTTTCTTTCGCTGCGTGTAAGCTTTTCACGCTGATGAATCACCTTTGTCTATTTTTGCTTTTGTTACCTATGCTTTGGTGTCATATCCAAAAAATTATTGCTTGGACCAATGTCAAAAAGCTTTTTTCGTATATTTTCTTTTAGAAGTTTTACAGTTTTAAGTTGTATATTTATTTCATCTATTTTGAATTGATTTTTGTATATAGTCTAAGGCAAGGGTCCACTTCTATTCTTTTGCATGTAGATATCCACTCTTCTCAACATCACTCATGAAGAAATTATTCTTTCTCCACTGTGTGTTCTTAACACCCCATCAAACATTGGCTGTAAATATGTGGGTTTATGTTGGACATCTCTGTTCTTTTCTGTGTTTGTCTGTGTTTGTTTTTATGCCAGAATTGCAATGTGCAAGTAGTGTAGATTTGAGTACAGTCATGCATTGCTTAATGACAGGAATATATTCTGAAAAATGCATCATTAGGCAATTTTGTCCTGCTAACATCGTAGAGTTACATACACAGACCCAGATGGTACAGCCTCCTGCACACCTAAGCTATGTGGTACAGGCTGTTGTTTCTGGACTACAAACCTCAGAGCATGTTACCTGACCAAATATAGGAGGTAATTGTAACACAATGGCAAGTGTTCGTCCATCTAAACATAGAAATGCTATAGTAAAAATGTAGCATAAACTGTATAAAAGGTCCACCTGTGTAGGACACTTACAATGAATGGCACTTAGAGAACTGGAATTTGCTCTGGGTGAAGTGGGTGTAGGATGGTGTACGCTGACCCTGTGCACTTCATAAACTCTGTGCACTTAAGCTGCACGACATTTATTTTTAAAATTTTCCTTCTTCAATCATAAATTAACCTTAGCTCCCTATACTTTTTTACTTTAAAGATATTGTTTTTTTACCTTTTCCATCTTTAGTGCTACCACTTAGCTTTAAAAACACATTGTGCAACTTAAAAAATGTTTTTTCTTCATCACCTTATTGTATAAGCTTTTATGTATTTAAAAGTTAATTTGATTTATTATATTAATTTTACTTTTAAAAATTCTTTTAAAAAAAAAAAAACAAACAGAAACTAAGGCACAAACGCACACACCCTGAGCTACCCAGCGTCAGGGTCTTTCAGATCACTGTCTTTCCCCTCCACGCCCCACTGGCAGGTCTTCCGAGGCAGTAACGTGTAGAGCTGTCATCTCCTGTGGTGAAGGGACACCCCTGAAGGACCTGCCTGGCGTTCTTTTACAGTCCATTTTTTTTTTTTTTTTTTGTAATAAGTACAGGTGAACTAAAACAATGGTACAGTACAGTAAATACACGAGCCAGTGCTATGCCGTTTCATCACTGTCAAGTGCTGTGCCCTGCACGTGGTTGCACTGCTGCCCTTTCATACGACTGAGGGCACATTTGGTCTGTTAGCAGCAGCATCCCCACAAGCACGGGAGTGACATGCTGCACTGTGACTTCATGACAGCTGCAGAGTCACAGGGCAGAAGGACTTTCTCAGCCCCTTTATAATCTTATGAAACTGCTGTCATATATACAGTCTATTTGTGACCAAAACGTTATGTGATACAGGACGGTGTGTTTTGAAATCACATTCATGAGGCACATGTATTATTCTCCCGGTTTCTTTCTTGTGTCTGTTGGTGTTTGGAAATGCAACTGATTTTCTGTATCATAATTTCATATCCTGACACTTGAAGAAATTCATTTGTTCGTTCTGACATTTTTTGGTGTCATCCCACATACATGATCATATCATCTTCAAAGAGATAATGTTACTTCTTCCTTGCTAATCTGAATACCATTATTTATTTTTCTTGCCTAATTGCTCTGGCCAGGACCTGCAGTGCTGTGCTGAGTGGATGTGAGAGTGGACGTCTCTGTCTTGTCCCTGATCTCAGAGGAAAGGCAGTCAGGGGTCCACCAATGAGTGTGTGGTTGGCTGTGAGTTTGTATATATGGCCTTTCTTATACAGAGATACATTCCTTCTATACATAATTTTGAGAGTTTTTAATAAAAATGTTTTGTTAATGAATGTCTTTTCAGTTTATATTTGTTAAAATTCATAGGGGCCAGGGTCTCTTGTGGTATTATTTGACTATTTTAGTTCAGGTAACTTTTCAGAAGATTAAACCATTTATAAGCTGTTACAAATAATTTTTTAAATGTATATAACATTTACTTTGATATAAAATGCTAACCTGGTACCAATGTGAACTTGCTTAAGGAGGGAATGTACCATGTCACCATTTTTGTCTCATATATATTTGCATTCCCAGGTGTGTTGATCACAGGCAGCGGTCTCTGGCATTGGGAATTCAGTTTATGTTGCTTCGAGTATTTGGTATGCTATTTTTCTTAATTAGTTGGTAACTGTTACTACATTTTGGTTCGCAAATGTTATTAGTTTATTCATTTAGGTCGTGTGCCAAGCAAGTAATTAAAGTATAATGGAAGAGAGCTGTTGAGGAAAGCTGTTTTCCAATGTTTGAGATGTGCCATTATTTACAGATCACACAAAAAAGCAATGACTTTAATTTTCACCTACCTGAGTGGGTCCCTGTTGATCCCAATTCTGTTGCAAATGTAGTCTTAAAAGGTGTATCCTATTTATTTGCAATATAAAATATTATTAACACATAATTCCTTTTATCTCCATTTGTGACACTACTGTGTTATATAAACAATGAAATATAAGGGCAGAATTTTTCAGTGGCATAAATATTGAGGCTAGTTAAGAACTATTAGAAGAAAAAACTTGGAGAATTTTATAAAGCCCCAGATATAGGAAGGATAATAAGAGAGAAACATAAGAGATATAATGTTAAGATAATTTATTAAAATGCTAACGAAAAGCTGGACTATTGGAGATCCCCTTGTCCAACTTCCTCATTTTCTTGGATGAATAGTTTAGTGCTCTGAGGTGTATGGTTCCGCCTGTTATTACGCAGTTACTGGTGGAAATGCACCTGGAGGATGGCCCCTAACTCCAGTCAGTGTCCTCTGATTTCGACTCTGTTGTGCTACATGCCATGAAAGAATAGACTGGATGCAGCTGAAATCTTTGTCTAAGAAATACCACCTCAAATAACATCTTTTGTTTGTAGCAATTGGAAGTTTGTAAACTACGTGAATGTTTCGTGCCTGGTTGCATCATGGGGATATGGGTGTGCATGTAAAAATAGTGACAATCTAGAAATGTTAGTGTGAAAACCATGTCTGTGTATGCCTGTGTGCACAAACCTGTACGCCCTGCTGCACACACACAGCTACACGCCCACGTTAGTTATGTGCACATGCTCACATGGGTGCACGTAATACAGGTGCTGCAGTTTAGCAGACTTATTTGTGTTTCAAGAATAATTTATTTTGATTTCATAGGAATATTGTAGCTAACTTCAAAGGCATATTTGTCCATTGTATTAGAAAAACAATGAATTAAAATATTTACTTAACTGCATGTTAAACCAGTGTATGTTAGAGATTTCTTTTAAAATATTTTTTGAGTTGATTAGAAATACATCATAGTTACATATAATTCTTAAAAATTTTATGACTGTTCATTGGACTTGCCAATGAATTAATTTGCACGTGAACATGTTAATAGTAATTTTTAGTGAATGAAATCTATGTTTAACCATACATATAAAATTCAGTAATTATAACATGGGCTTGGTGGCTCAGGCTTGTAATCCCAGCACATTTGGAGTCTGAATCAGGAAAATCACTTGAGAGTAGACGTTTAAGGCCAGCTGAGGCAACACAACAAGCCGTCATCTCTACACAAACACATAAACAAATAAATCTTCATTATAAACTGTAATCTTCACTCATGTTTATTTCACCTAATTCTTCTAGGCACAATACCTGGACCGATTATATTTGGCCTCACAATAGACAGCACCTGTACCCTATGGGATGTTAATGAATGTGGAATCAAGGGGGCCTGCTGGATTTATGACAACATCAAGATGGCCCACATGCTAGTAGCCATAAGTAAGTGGTGATTTCTTGGTAACTTTAGAGTAAACCGATGATGCCCCAAAGTCTTCTTCTTGGTTACTTAAGTCACACTGGTTTTGGAATGTTAAGGTCACGTGCTTGAACCGTCCTTCCAGCTGAAACAGAGAAGGTATTTACCACAACTGTTCTGAGAGGTTTGTAATGCGGTCTGCAAGGCTCAGCATTAAACAGAAGAGAGTAAAATTCTAGCTTTGATTACATCATATGTTTTGCATTTTTTAAACAACTTCTCTCAGAATGTTTTGAAAAGTATACCCAAAAGTTAAAATGGAACACTGAGAAACTCTGGAATTATTGCCATCGGGGTGTCTGGGCTCTGGGACGTGCGTAGAGCTGAACTAGAGAAGTATCCTTTTTCTCTAAGGCACGTTGTGAGAAACCTCTGTGTGGTTTAGAGAGGTAGCCATGGATCTAAGTCCTTTTGCCTTTTGCTGTTTATATGGTCTTGGTTAAACAATATGTGGAAGTTAAGGTGAGATTGAGGGATTAGAACAATGCATAGTTTGTGCTGTAAGATAAAATTTCAAATTTCAAAAACACCCTCAGAAGTTAAAATATTTTAAAATAGAGAAATCCTGAGTATATACACTCACAGACACATACATGTATATATACCACGGGGTTTTCACGGCTGTTATTTTGACACATGTATTAAGTTAGGCTTTTTATTCTTACAGTGTTTAAACCCAGACTACATGGTCTGAATTTATAATGACAGAGCAACAGGCTACCCACTGAAGAAATAAATATACAAATTCAAAAAACAACGGGAGACTAAATATTGGCTAGAAGAGACAAAATGAATCATCCCTTCACTTTTCCTATTGTTAAAACCGTTTTTATTCAATGTGTTTATGTTTTAAATTTACTGAGTCACTTCATTTGTACTTTCTGGCCAAAATACATATATACTGAATTTCTCCTTATTCTACTCAATGGTGAAGGTGAATGCCCCCCCCCCCAAAAATACCTTTCATTTTTCAAAAACAAACAAAGATTGTACCAGTCATACCTATGTAAGTAATTTCCCTTGAATCTGACACTGGTTAGATCAATGAGCATTCCTGTTTTTCAGAAAAACATTTAAAATAAAATACTAATGATTAGCAAAAATAAACCAACTGTTATGGAAACTACACTGCGAGGCCCATTTGCTTCTCTGAGCATTCACGAAATGCTCATAGGATAGCTGGACCTAGTTTCACTTCACACAGCTGGGCTCAATTCAGAGTTTTGGAAAATAAATTAAAGTTTGTAAAGTAAATCTTAATATTTCATATTTTTGACTCATAATAATAATTAGATCTGGTTAAGTACTGAATATGCTTTCTTCTAAGCATTCTCCTAAGAACTCAAGTAGATTTTATTTTTGTAACTCTTTTCCAACCTAGATATGAAAATCTTACAAGTTATTATTCTGGTTCAAAGATGATGTAAGCTCATTTCCTTTGTCACAGACTTCAGCTGCTTGGAGTTTTATAGATTTGGTATTCTGTTATATTTATAAATTGAATATGAGCTTATTTAATCCTAGGCAATACCTATTTTATAAGAATATGCAATCACAACAATCAATAGGACAATTATTACTGTATAGTATTTTTTTTGAAAGAAAATAAATGCTGGCTCATTGAATTTTGTACAAATGTTTTATTTTTCTCCCTAACATTTTAAAAATTTGAAACATATCTGTAATGCTCATGTAATTCTTCTCTTTAATGTGGTAAGTTTGTGTTCATGAAGAATTTCTCAGCATACATGATTAATTTCTTTTTATATTCAGGTGTCACTTGTAAAATTATCACCATTTTCTTCAATGGGTTTGCAATCTTTCTGTATAAACCACCACCACCAGGCACAGATGTGTCCTTTGAATGCCAGAATGCAGCTGTGACGACTGTTTCAGCACGATCGGATCTCAGCAAAGGAGGAAAAGAACGGTGAAATACAAACAGACAGTTTTGAAAATTCACCTCCATTTCAAAGAACGTTCTTTGCCATGGCAGCATTATTGACCCAATATAAACAATAATATTTTAAAAATATGTTTTATAATCAAAGGCATTTTTATATATGTGTGGACACATTTGTTTTTTTTTAATACAAAATACAGACCTGTGCCTTCAAAGACCACCAAAAGCCTCAACACACATATACACGTGCACATACACAGAACACACACGTGCACACGCACAGAACACACACGTGCACACACAGAACACACACGTGCACACGCACAGAACACACACGTGCACACACACGTGCACACACACAGAACACACACGTGCACGCACAGAACATGTGCACACGCACAGAACACACACGTGCACACACATACATACTTATTTCCCATTGTCTAATAAGAAAAAGGACTAACCATTAGTTCAAAGTTTATATTTTAAAAAACAGGGATGATTTCTATCCCTTTTACAACGTGTTTCATTTTAATTTTTCATGCCAGAAGTTTAGAAAATTTATGTATAAAAATTTAAACTAATCACATTTATGTGATGATTTCTGGGAATTATTACTGAAAGCCTATGAATTAAAACCATCTTTATCATATAATTTATTTTGAAATTTGCAGATGCTAATCTGGCTTTTCCTTATTAAAACAAGTTACTAAACTATTAGAGTATAGATTAGTCCTCTTCTCTGTGTCCGAGTATATCGTGAATAGAAATATCAGCATTGTGAACACTGGCGACCCAGGAGGGAGCAGGGTGGGAGGGGCAAGCATGAAAGTTGCCTGTCGGGTCCCAGACATGCTCCTAGAGTACATCAAGGCCAGACTGCACCCCTGTACAGTACATGCATGTACTGGAATTCAACTTATGTCCTCAAATCTATTAAAACAAAACATAAAATAACATCATCTATTTAAATAATTACACATATTTTATTGGTCCTACTGAGGTGATATAATACTTAATTACCTTTATTGTGTTAAACGATCTTTGCTTTCATTGTTTGAGTTAACTCCTATTATTTTTATTTTATGTTTGGTGCAATTCAATATGATTGTATTTATTTAGGATACTTTTTATACATAAAAATAATAGAGGTATGTGAAAACAAAGAAATATCAACATTGTACACACATATTTTCACCTTAACCCAAGAATTCCAGGAGGCAATTTATTGATATTGCTGATATTAACAATTAACTTTTATGAATCTGTGATAGTATTACATTACAATTACATATATTTCAGAGGAAAGTACCAGCTTCAGTAAAGAAAAGTGCCAATTAGATATGAAAATATTTTTTAATGAAGTATTGACAAATACTTACATAGTTAATATTTTAGTTTTTATCATTGTAAAAGCCAACCACCTAGCGCATTAATTGTGGTGCCTAAAACAGTGTTTAGCATATAATAGATTATTATTGTTGTCTGATTAGAACGTTAAACCTTACTCTTTAACTGAAGCATTTATTTGATAGTTGAAAGTATCTCTCAATCCTGAAAACTTCATAACTTCACTCTTTTTTCTGAGGTCAGACTTACCCCACCTTAGCTTAAAATATGGAGAATCTAGATGAATGAATGTCAACAAAAATAACTTGTATCATGGTTAAAATTTTACTGATTAGGAAGAGTGTGAAGCTCAAAGCTGGACATGATTACATTTGAAATTTGTATTAAATAGAAGTTAATAAGGTCCATTATCAGGTTTCTCCTATCAGCTGTCCCCAGGTTAGTTTTTTACAGTGTTTTATATTTGCTGTGATCAAGATAACAAGCTTTGAGGAAGGCCCTGCCAGTGGGAAACCAGGATCAGAAACACTAAAAATTCACAGAACTTAAGGGACTATATTTTGAGGTAATCTATGGCCAATGATGATTCCAGAACCTGTGCTAATTACAAAGTGAAATTCAAGGGAAAGGAACAAGTTAGAAGTTAGCGGAGGAAGCACACTTGGTGTTGGAGGGAAGTAGCCGGGGTCAGGAGACAGAAAGAGAGAGAGACCTCCTTAAACTGGAAATGTAGTGTAACTACCAGAGACTGAAGGCAGATAGTCACCACAAGGCCGAGTTTGGGGAAAACAGGAAATTCATAGCAACCAAAGGGACTGGGCAAGCTTGGACACATTTTAAATACTAAGTTCTGTCAGTGCCAAGGTGAAAGAATGTTTGGGCCTCTGTGATCTGTGTGGAAACAGGGAAGAGAGTGGAAATTTCATGGCTCTCAAATCGTGGCAAATTCTGGGGAGTTCACTAAAGAGACGTGAGAGGACAGCCAGAGAGGAAACTACAGGTGCACAGACCAGGGCTACTCAGTTTAGAGAAAAGGGGAGAAGCACACCACACACAGAAGTCTCAGTCACAGGAGTTGGCCGTCATAGAGATTTCTAACCGCCAAGGCCTGCTCTGGGTTCAGTGCACTGTTTCATAAGGGGAAACAGAAGCATTTTAAAGGAAATCGTAGAAGTGAAAATAATTTTGGCACTTAGAGTCAAGCTCTTCTGTTTATAACACACATATTCAGAAAAAATACCTCCTTTTATGACAATGGTCCAGACACTACCGTAACTTGTAATAGTCATTCTTACTTTGTAGTTCACTTTGATCATATAAGTTGATAAGATACTTGTAGAACAAAATTGTTCATAATATGTATTTTCCACAATTTATAATAATTTATAAGAAGCTTAATTTATAAGTCATCCTGCTGTGATTTTGTACATAAGTGGGTATATGCCTTAAACCTTTTTAATATTTGGATTTCCTCATTTGTAGAGAATACAAATGTGAAACTCTTATACTTGGAGAGAAGTGTATGCAATTGACTTTACTATGTAAATCAGAGGAAAATACAAATTGTAAATACAATTTTAGACTATTTTAAGATTTCCTTTACTGTAAACAATTATACAAAATATAGGTACATATACATATATACCTTTTATTAAATGAGAATATTTATACTAGATTGTTTTACATGTTTGACTTTATTAAATGATACAGGTTTTGAAATTTCTCTCATGTCTGTTTATGAATACAAATACATTTTAAAGATGGGATGGGGAGATCAGTATACTTTTGAACTAGGTGAATGGTAGTTAATCTAGTGATTTTTAGTATCTCTAAAGATGTATTTAATTAAATATAGACTACATTTATTATGGAATATATACTAGGAAAATTTTTTCATGTAATAGTTTATAAGTATGATGGACTGATACATGATTTATACGAGTCGGATACATTTTGTAGTTTTTAATTTCCATCCACCAGTTTGGCCTCCCTTGATGACTCCTGCATGGGCTTAGTATGGTTTTTGTCAGTGGTGATTTTTTATTTCCATTGCATTTTTTGGAGGTTTTTTTTTTTTTTTTTTGAGACAGAGCCTCAAGCTGTCCCCCTGGGCAGAGTGCCATGGCATCACGCTCACAGCAACCTCCAACTCCTGGGCTCAAGCGAGTCTCCTGCCTCAGCCTCCCAAGTAGCTGGGACCACAGGCGCCTGCCACAACGCCTGGCCATTTTTTGGTTGCAGGCATCATTGTTGTTTGGTGGCCCGGGCTGGGGATTCGAACCCACCACCTTAGGTGTATGTGGCTGGCGCCTTAGCCGCTTGAGCCACAGGCGCTGAGCCTCCATTGCATTTTTTAACATGTATTAATTGGGATTTTAAGAAAGAACTGTTACATCCCCACTATTATTTAAAGTTGTTCAATTATTTGTATAACCTCATTGATAATTATTCTATGGATTATTATCCATTTTTTGTGAAATAGTTTTCTAGTGGGACCTTGGGAGCGCTGTAAGGCCATCTTCTTTTTCTATTTGGAACACCCAGGTCACCATTGGAGCACATCCTTGCTGTCCGGCCACAGAAGACGTGCCGGGCTCCTCTTGTCCTTTGCTCACTACAAGGAGCCCTGGCTCCTTCATCAATGAACGGCATTTGGAAGCCACGATTTGCACGTCCACATGTCCACTTCTGTGTCTGTCTGGAGTTCATGTTAATCTTTCTTTTCCTTTCTTGTAAATCCTTTCTCTGAGACTGAGAAACCTGCCCTCTGTATTCACAACACCTTATTTGTCCAGTACTGGACTGTGAGAGTTTATTGTGGATGCTGCAGGTTACTACTTTGGGGCCTATAATCTTAATCACATCTGCGACGCCTGTTTACCACAGTGTCTGTGTAAGTGTTTCATTGAACAGGTCAGGGATGTGAGGGTTGGGGGCTTCTTCAGAATTCCATCAGGCGCACTGATACAAATCAGCCTCAGTGTCTCTGCCACATACACTGAAAACACCTGATTCCCTGAGCAGAACCTTTGGGGTGGCAGAAGGTGAGGTCACTAAATCCTGAAATGACGTCAGGCAGCAAAGCTGGACAGTGATGTCAAAACTATCACTCCAGGCCTCAGAAAATCAACAGGGGCATATAACAAACCAGGAAATAGCTACTTAACAAAAAAGAAAAAAGCCATTGAATCCTGAGTAAGAAAAGTGCGTGTCTCTGAGGCTTTAATCTGGGGAAGCTCCCTCTCCTGTCTCAGCTCCGTCATCACAGTCGTACCACTTTCTCTCTGGAGAAATGGCTAATGCTGTATTGAAGAGATAGAGACTATCGTGTCTGTAGAAGGCCCAGCAGGCCCAGCAATATTTGTATCTTTTTAAACAATCATTGATCTATACATTTAAGTTTTACTATATGCTAATTTCCCCCTGCAAAAGTCAGCTTGAAAAGAAACAATGATATTGGAAACAGGGTTAGAAAGTTAACCATTGAGGGGCTCCTCCAAGTTGGACAGGAATCCCTAAGGGAAGCAATAAGGGGTGAAGATGTCTGTCAGAGAGGTCAGCCTTTCCTTTCTAGCTGGATGTGTGTGGGGTGCAGCCCACTGGACGGGAGTGTGTGTGTGCCCTGACATGCCGAGCTGGTAAGAGGACACAGAGATGGGGTCCTGGCTTAGGTCTGGAGACACTACTCAAACAGGAAGTCTGAAGGGAACTGCTACATTTGTGACTCAAGGAGACGTCTGAGGGTGAGAGTTTCCCAGGCAGTGAGGCACCGTGTAGCTCCCCTGTGCTGGGCCATGTGGTGGGACCCTGCCCCTGCACTCTCTCCGTTAAGGTCCCAACACAGTCACAGACAAAATGGGGTAGGTCTGTGGGGGAGGCAGCTCAGGAGATCACGAAACTGTCTGGAAATCAACTCGTTCAAAGGCCAACATGA